CCTCTGAATGGGAGATTCCAGCCAGCACCACAGCTAACTCCACCCTCAGCCTAACAACCCTGGTCTGTACCTTTATCCCAGTGCTTGCACCAGTAAGTTTCACAGCCTCTCACTTCTCCATCCCCATCCTCCTGGCTGTCTTGCTACTTCTGGTGCCATTTACTGCAAATTCCCTTTGAAGTCGTATTCCTTCCTGTCTCACAGAATTGCTTTTCCTCTCTGCCGCCACTTTTCTTTCCACACATACCCATGGAGCAGGATACTGGTGTCCCAGTGTGCCCATCTCAGGCACACTGTTCCTCCTTCTTTGCTACATCTGTGGCCGGCCCTCTCCACATGGGAGTCTCCAGCACCTCTGTCTACTCCTTCCTCCCATGTGAAGGACACAAATGTCTCCTGGGGGACCTTCTGGAGACCATGTCCTCTGCCAAAAGGCTTCACATCTACAGCTGTGCTGGTCCCCACTCCTGATGGGTGTTTCTCCACCTTGCATCTCAGCCAACTCCTACCCTTTCCTATATAAACTGCTAACACCATCTTCACTGACCCCCTTGCTTTTCCTTGCAAGTCCCTTGCGTGTCCAAGGGACTCTGTTTTCCTCTTGGGAACATCACTCTTTCTCGCTCCGTTTCTTCAGCCTCCACTTCTCCAGCCTTGTCTCACCACCACAAAATCACTGGTGGTCACAAAATTGTAACATTTAAAACTGTTACTGCAGGAAAGCAGAAGGTGTGCACATGAGAGAGCACATAAGGATGCTATAAAGGCAAGGAATTTTCCACTTGTATTATATTTTTATGCATACTGCAGACCATCTGTGGAAAGCTGTCAAATGACTAGTTGGAAACATATTATGAAATCATGTTATTTTACTTCAAACATTAATGTAACAGACTCAGATCTGAGAACTCAGCAAAACGTTAGCAGTTTTCTTGTGCTTCCCAATTTTGCTCATCTCTTAACAAGAAGGTCTCATAGCTTAATGGAGTCTTCCCCTACCCTCTGTGACTTTTGAGCCCACATTTGGCTGCTAGGTTGGCACGTGTTATACATTTCTGTAGTCTCAGGTCCACACGTGCTTGTTAATGCAGCCTGGAGTAATTTGCATGTGTGTTCTCAAGTTAGGAAAAGTGAGGTGACACTTCGTTATTTTGTAGTGACACCTCTGGACTCAGAGATCAGTACATTACCAAGTGTTTTTTAAGCTTGTTTGCAGTGTTCTTGCATGTTCTTTTTTTTGCACACTGTGCTATGCTATTATCCATACATTTGGACTCCAGATTTCCAGCTCTGTAACCTCCTGTCCATTTGAACAGCCTCCTGAATACATTTGAAGCTAGCTTTGTGACCATTCTTTCCTGATTCCCAGTATTTGAGAAAGCTTCTCATATCTCTCTAGTTTCCAAACAGCATTTTGTGGCAATACTGGCCTAGAGGAGACTGGCAGCTCTATATTACTGATTTTCCCTATACCAAATTTCTCTCCTTTAGTTCCAAACCTCAGGAAAAAACCCTTGTCTCTGTGCTGTTACCCTCAACTCCCCAACCCCCCCACTTTCCCCCACTCCCCCTATGCAGAACAGCTTGTCTTGCCTGTGTTTACTGCAGAATGTCTTCTTCCCATCTGAATATGTGTTGTTGAACCTGTCCTTAAACTCTTCTTGCCCACCCTTTCTAGTGTGTTTGTGCCTTTGTCCTTGTGCTATCAACAAGTTCTTTTGCCTTTACACTTCGAAAACAGCCATACATATCTTTTTTTGGATGAGTTCCACTGCAAAACGAGTTCAAGTTAGTGCAACAGAGGGTGAGAGACGGGTACCCTCCCTTTCAAATTACACAACCCTATGCTTGGAGCTGTCGTGGCATGAGCTCTGCTGGTACTCATATACATTGTCCTCCTGAGCTGCAGTAGCTTCCATTGCAAACCTCTTTGCTTGGATGACTAACTAGTAAAGCTGAATATACATAAAATAATAATGAAATGTTACTAAATCTATAATAAATCCACTGAAAACAGCCTGACTGACCACTGACCATGCCACTTTTTGTAGATTTCCTGCACTGACAGTGGTCCATCGCAATACTTCCCGGAGACACAACCTCCAAATACACCAAGTTTCTACACATTAGTTGTGGTGGGAGTAGCGAGCCTCAGCAGGCAACATTTTCCATCCAGAGCTTGTTTGCATAACCAGAAATTAACCTCCTCGGGTTTAAGACAGTCCCACAGCTTCATGCCCAACCCCAGGGAATCCACTTGGCATGGATTTTTCTCTTCTTTTATAACAAGCTTTCATTTCGCACATAGGCAGGAACTCTTCTGATAACAAGAGGCAGCTGCACAGAATAGTTGCAGCTTGTGTCTGGACTAGAATGTCTCTGGTGCAAGAGGGAAGACCCAAAATGCACCTAAGGAAAAACTCCCTGAAGGATTAGAAGATTGGTGTCTTGGGTTTAAATTGTACTCCACATCAGGATTACTCAAATGGGAACAGCTGTCTATTGCTGGAAGTCTGGATGACACGATGGGACTGGGAATAGAAAACAGGGAATGACTAGGGGAGGTGCTGTGACTAGTACCCTGGCCTAGCTGAGCCCCAAAGCCTTTCAGCTGTAGAGGTACCACTGTGCTGAAAAAGGCTGATTTCAGCCAGAGTTGGAGCATATGTCAGGGAGCAGATAGGCACTGAGAAGCACAAGTCCTATTCCTGACATTTTCCCATTTCATTTTCCATCATAAGTCCAATATTCTTATGTGCACTGGCCAGCTCTTTGCGGTAACATCAGACATCAGGCAAATGTTTCCTTCTATTGTCTTTGTGTCTCCCAAAGGACCTTTGGTTTGAGTGTCTTTGCCAACAAATAAGCAGCAAAAGCAGTTGACAGACCGAGATCAGTGATGATGGTAGAAACAAGCTGACCATGCCAGTGGTTGCTGTTTATTCTTCTCTGAACAAAAGTACAACCAATTTTCCCAGCACTGCATGAACAAGAAGGAAGAGCTGATCTCTGCTTTAAGCATGTAATGAACTGGGATGAAGTCTCAACTTGAGAAATTGAGGATGGCGAAAGCTGAAGATCCCTTAAATTCGGACCCGTTGTGCTCTTTTTGTGTTACTTATTCCTCTGTAAATTTCCTAAATCTAGGTGAGTAGAAAGTGTCTGAGAAATATTGCCTGGTTTGCTGGGTTTGGGGAGGGGGAAGGACAAGATGAGCTCCACACTGCTGGTTTCCAGGCTGTGGCAGACACAAGCAAAACAGGGTGCTCTCCTCCCCTTTCACTTACCTGCATACAGGAGGTAGGCTGTGCCCTCACCTCCTCCTTTTTGGTCCTAGAAAGAACAGGAGGAGCAGAAGCAGAGCAGAGGTGGTCTTTCCACTCAGTTAGCAGAGCCATTAAGTACAGCCAAATCCCCAAATCATTAAGCTTACATGAGTGCAAGACCCTTATATTTTCCTTTCCTAGAGCTGGATCATTTGGAAAAGAGCTACAAGTCACTATACCCATGGACAAGCTTGTTCTGTTCTCAGGAGCAAATCCATGGCTGTACTGTAGTTTGCAGTTTGTCTCAAAGCTAATACAAAATCTGCTGTTGAAGTGCAGTGCACATTACAGTGGTGTGGTACATGGGCCCCTGGGATGCCAACCTGCCAGATCTCACATGGTTTGGACACCACAGCTGGATCTTTGCTCAGAGTGGTACAAAAAGTTTTAGAACATGGTATCAGTAGTGTATGGAAAGGGTAGAATGGATCAGACATACATATTTGCTGGATCTCCACTTTGCTCTTTTTCACGGGTTCATTCACTTGAGTTTTGTGGGTATTTTCTTCCTGTTCCAATTCAAGTGTGCACAGACTTGAAAAATGCTGACACAGGTCTTTGAAAGCACAGAATGCAACCGATGGACAGGATTGAACTCTCCCACCTGTACAGGCAGGTTTGTGTGTTGACACCTGCAGACCAAAGCTTATGAATTTGTTTTCTGTCTTCAGGAATTTTACTGAAGGATGCAGCATTTAGGATGCAGCATTTTACTGGATCGCCGATAAATCAGTGCCTGGCACAGCTTCACAAAGGACAGGGATCAGCAGCCCAAAGGGCTTGCAGATGTGATACAGGACCACAAGACACATCTCTTCTGCTGAAATAACAACTGGAGGTGAAGCAGGGTATTGTCAACAGCAAGACTTTCATGATCTCTGTGGAAGTGGAGCAGACCTTCAGTTGCTCTGAAAACATCCCATGACGCTGTTGTTTATGAACTACTCTTGCAGAAGCTCTACCTTTAAGAAACACAATGATACTTTTATTACTAACCTGGAAAGCCCCATGCCTTGAAGGAATAGCTTCTATTACGTCAAGAAAGCAGAGAGACTTTTACTTCACTCAGGGGGTAGCTGTATGCAAAAGAACCACAGAAAACTGCATGGGTACACGATCCAGATAGATCACAGAAGGAGAGCACTGAAGGGAAATATAGGCCTCCTTTTCTTCCCATCATTGTGTTTGGAATATGTTTCCAATTGCACCAGTCACAAAGCAATCAAAGAAACTTGTCTACAGTGGTAAACTGAAGATGTCCTATCAGACCACATTACAGGGTACTACACAGTATTGAATCCTTAGTCATAACAGAAAACCCAACATCCACATGACTGCAGCCCACAATACAGCCAATTTCCATATGCCTTAACAGAAAAGAGAGAACAGATCTTCAAAGCAAATGAAATATGTCTTTGGAAGATGCTCACTAACATATACCTTCCCCCCCCCCCTTACATCCTTACCCAGCATCCTACCTTCCCTTGCAGGAAATAAGGAAGGAGGCCACCCCCTGCAGCACGCATGAGGCAGGGAGCTCATCCAGCCAGGGAACCTTGGTCCTTCCCAGACTCCCCAGCAAGCTCCAGGCCCTGCACCCCATCCTTCATCATCCATCACCTGCGCTAGTAGGCTGTTCCCAAGGTGTGAGGATAAACAAGTGCTTCGCTCATATGATTTTGAGGGTGCCATGTTTAAAATTCCCAGTCTCGTTCTGCTTGCTTGACTGACTGCTGGTTTTAACAGCTCTGCAAAGGAAGACAAAAGCAAAATTATTAAACAGTGCAGTCACAGCCTCATGGTAACACAACAGCTGGGGCTGGCCACCACCACAGGGAGCAGCCTGGCCTAAGTGGGCTCAGGACCTGCCATGGGAGGTGGTTATGAATAACTTATCTGGAAGAACAAAGGGAACTAGTAACAGACTTTCTGTCATGCTCTGAAATCAGTCAGAGATGACTGCAGCCTTTCACTGCTGTCTTCCAATACTTTTTATAAAATGGCTGCTACCTAGCCTTAAGAAAGTATTCTTTTTTTCATGAGGTCACTCTTGCATCACAAGTGAAGTAAAAACTGCAAAGGAGAAATATTTCCTTTCTATTACTGCAAAGATATTTTGAAGATGATCAGGCTAGGGAAATGAACTCTCCTCAGGCTACAGCTGTTCTCTGACCCGGGTCAGGGCTCCATGCACACCACCCCAGTGAGCACTGCACAGCTGCCTGCTGGTGCCTGCAGGAAGGTGTTTCTGCAGGCGTTCGTCCTTTCGCTTAACGGGCCAGGTCCTCAGGCAGGCAGAATCCCGCTGGAACGAAGGCATCAGGTTCGCAATCCAACCGAAATCCCACCAGCGGGTCGAGTGCAATAAACTGTCCCCGTCGCTGGCAAACGGCGTTTAAACCACGAACTGCCCGGGGCGGCGGCGCTGCCCGGCCCTGGCAGCAGGTGCCACTGCGAGACGGCGGGACACTGCCCGGACACCGCCCGGACACCGCCGGGACACCGCCCGGACACCGCCCGGACACCGGCCGGACACCGCCGGGACACCACCCGGACACCGCCCGGACACCGGCCGGCCCCGGCGGAGCGCACTGCGGGGACACGACCCGAGCGGGCGCTGGGAGGCCACGGCCACCAGGTCGCGCGTGGGGATGGACCCTTGGGAAGGGCCCCGGGAGCGGCCGGTCGGCAGGAGGCACCCGGGTGCCGTGCGAGGGGAGTGGCGGGGAAAGGGCAGCTCCCCGGGCTGGCTCGGTGCGGGGGGAACGCAGAGCCCTCGGAGGGGCCGGGCCGTGCAGTGCCGGCGGGCTGGCTCACGGCAGAGAGCTCGGGCTTCACCTTGGGGTTGGTCCCTGCCATCGCCAGGCGTCAGAGTGCAGCCTCCTTTCTTCACGGGCAGGCACGGCTTTACACCTTTAAAGATCACCCTGGCACTGCACTCCAGGACCATCACTGCTACTCACAAGGATTCATGATGATGATGCTCTGGAAAAAGATAATGTTGTCCTGTTTCCACTATCAGTAAGAGAGGCAGCCGCAGGAGAAAGTGTGCTGTGTTGTTAAGGTTAGGTCTGGTTTACACCCACACCATGAATGAACTTCAGAGTGATGTCAGGTTTTTAACTTCTGTTTCCCTTCTGAATGACGTTTGTGGTCAAGAAGGCATTACGCATCTGAATATTTAAAGAGACTAACAGGGAGAGAAGGTAAAAGAAAAGGCATGGGGAAAAAATAACCAAAAAACAAAACCAAAAACAAACCCAAAGCTGAATGCAGCTAATTAATTTATCATAAAATTAGGGATGAAGGAAATTGCAAGGACTTCTTAGCTCATAGAAGTCCTTCTGTCAAGGGAGATTCTCCATTAGACCTACCCTATTTAGATCCTTGGCTTCACTTACCTGATGGGGCTGGATAACCAGCAGAAACAAAGAAGTGACACTATACTGTGCCCTTACCTGCCAGGGCTAATGAATATTGCTTGTGCTGGGCATCTGAACCCACAAACACATGAGATTCTTTCTCCTGTCAGCTGCCAGACACAGTGTAGAGCCTCAGGAGACTGGTCCTTGCAGAAACAGCAGCCGGAGAGCAGAGGGGCATTCAAGGATATACTGGAGACCTGCAGCGCGAGAGGTGGGAGTGGAGAACAAGATATGCTAGTTCAGAGATCCATCAAAGGAAAGGAAAAAAGCATGAGCAAGTCATTCTCTCCTACTGAGCTGCAGCTCCTAGATCCTCTGTTTTCTCTCTTTAGGATCTCTCCATACTTCCACAGTGATGGGTGAAAACTGGGTGCTACTCCATGCTATCAGAGGCAGCTTTACTGTGACTGAGCAGAGCAGCATTACCCCCTCTGGTGCTGTGTTAGGGATCTGAGAGACAGCACTCACCCATTTAGCAAAGGCGTTTAATGGTGAAGTAGTACCTATCAGTAATTTTTCACTAAGGTGTTTTATTACCAGCACTGTCTGCTGCTGGCCAGGTCTGCAAGTTGCATTACTCTGCCTGTGCTGGTCACCCACCTCAGCTATGTCTGTCTGTCAATGACAGCTGATGGATCCCTCAGCACTTCTGGACGTTTCTTTGGGGTCACACAAAGCTCCAGCTTCTGTATCTCCAAGTGTTTTCTGAAAGAGAACAGCACAAGCAACCTCCTCTGAACACACATAAGTAAGAGCCCCCTTCACCTCTCCCCAGCACTATTGTTTGCTGCTCTGGCACCCAGCCTGGGGAAATGAACACTCATCCCACCCCAAATTCTCATCAGTTTGTCAGCTGTGCATAGGCAGGTGTGAAAGAGACCATGCTGAGCAAGGATGGAGCAGGAATGTGTCCATCCCACATGGGTGCTGGGCCAGCTACAGTTTGCAAGCACAGTTTGCCCTGGGCACAGGACTGGGTGACAGGAATTACCTCCCTGCCAGAAGGGTGGGTGGTAGAAAGAAGGAAGCTTGCAGGTTAACCCCCAGAGGGGCTGGTGGCAGCATGGCTGCATCAAAGGACTTTGCTCTGAGCTGCACATCCTGCTAGCAGGAGAGGCAAGAGATCTGGCCTCAGGGCACTGCTTTAAACCAGCCGACTCTAATGTGTATTGAATCCAGATAGTATTATGCAGGTTTAACTTGCTCTTTATATCCATAAAGGCAAGCTAGACACATGGAAATCTCTCTAGTCACTCTAGTCAATGCAGGTGCATCCAGATGAGGGTTTGAATCAATAAACTGTAGAGTTCTGTCCGTGTGCTCCAGTGTGTGCCTTCCAGTCATTGAGACACCCTGTCTTAAGGCCTTTCTGGGCATCATGAACACTCTACCGAGGAGGAAGGTTTTTCCTTTGTAGAATTCTATTCATATTTCCACACATTGCTGCTAGAAATCCATGTATCTCCTTGTATTAATGGCTTCATTTCAAACTACTTCCTTTTTAGCAGCAAAGAAAATCAATAAAAGATGCCCATATGTTATGATTATATGCAATAATGATGTATAATTACTGAAAAACCCAGTTCCCGAGACTGCACAGCCTTGGTAATGGAAGAGGAGTGTCCATAGAGTTAAGTTGATCTTAAGGTGCCCTCCAACCCAAATCATTCTATGATTTCAGGGCAGTGTAACTGTCTCCACCTGCCTTGGCCACATGTTGAGGTTTGCCTCCTAGGTCTGCTCCTGTATATTGTCCAACTGAGGAACTTCCTGCTGATTCAACTAAATTCCTTTCCATTGCTTTGGAAAGCCTCTACTGTTGTGCAGCTTGAGCTCCAAGTTGTTTTTTCAGGCAGTGCCACCCTTTTTCTCCATCCAGAAAGCTTTTCTGCCGGATTGAAGGACCTCCAGTTTTTCCTCAAGCTCTAATTTGAGTTTCTGCTCAGGTTTTTTTGTTGTTTTGGTTTGGGTTTTTTCCTGGCTACTCAATTAGACTCCAAGCCTTCCTGCAATTCAGTGATCTGGGAATCCAGGTCACTATTTCCGTCAGAACTGCTTCCTCCTCCAGATTCACTGAGCTGCCCACAGTTCTTCTTCCTTCCTGGGCAGACCTCTATGTTCCTCATGCTGTGCCTGCAGATGCAGTACCTTCTTCCTGCACTGTGCACCCTGTCTCCACCTCCTGTCACGGTATCCCTCCCTGAGTTACAGACAAGTCATGAGCTGAGGTTCAGTCATATAATTCTTGCTAGAAAGTTTTCTTTGCTGCCTGCAGTTCATGAGATTGTATTTTCCATGGCTCTCCAGGTCACTGGGACCCTGGGCTGTCTGGGAGGTGGGAGCCATGTGGACTCTTTGGGACAACAGAGTGGAACCCAGCAAGCAGGACCAATCCCATCACCTCAGCCAGGGAGCAGGGCAGGCCAGGAGGCACCAGGGGCAGCCCCAGCCCCCATTGTCAGTCACCTTCTTGGGAATGGGAATGGGACTGGGCCAGGATGTCAGCCCACAGCTGGGCCATAAGTGGAGGCTTTGCAGACCAGTGAGACCACTCCCATCCTGCATCCTCCACCATGGGAGGAAGGCTTCTGCAATGTCAGCACCCTTCCTGGATCCCTAAAGTAACAGCAGCTGTTGCTGCTGCAGGTGGGGCCACATCCAGGCTTGTCCCCTGCTGGTCCTGGCTCGCTGGTTCCAGCAAGGACTGACTGCCCAGGATAGGCAGAGCCTTCTGGTACCCAAAGCCCTGCCCGTTGCCAGCCTAGCTCTACTCTGCCAGTGTCATGACATCTCAGGCCCCCTTGCTCTCCTGCCTGTGGTTACCCAGTTGCTTGCAAGGCCCACATTTTTCACTCCATAGACCTCCCCAACTCCACAGCTGTGACAGCCCATCCTGGCACATCCTTCCTCCAGCTACAGGAAGAATCCCAGGCACACAGCATGGAGGAAGCACTGGAAGGGCTGCCTACTCCCAAACACATAGCTTTTCAATGCTTTGTCAGTTCTTAACATGCTGTTCTTCAGGGTCATGCCCTCCACCACAGGACAGCTTCAAGTATTCCCAGCAGTTCTCCTTTTGGTGGTGCCCAAAGCAAAGCCGTGCAAGCCACTGCCTCTGTCAGCATGACAGCAGTGTCCCATTGCAGCATCTACACCGGGGCAGCTGCTGGCTGAAGAACCTTCTTGTTTTTACCCTCTCCACATTTCCAAGGGAAGGAAGAACCTTACCTCTGGCACTTCATGTATTAACTGCTACGTGATAAAAGCCAGTTCCTAGAGAAGTCTGCTCCACATGCCTATCCATGCTGAGATTCCCATTAATAATTACTCAGTCTGTCAGTCAGGTTTGTGGGTTGTTATTCTTTTTTACCTACAGAATGTTTCTGTGTATTTCTTACTTCTCTCTGGTTTTAATGTGATAGCACACACAGGCTGCACTGTGAACAAGTGAAATTGCATGTTCAAACTTCTATAGAAACCACTGACAGGCTCTGTATTTTATGACTTGAAGGTATTTATAATTCAGCAGGAAGTTTTCAAAGTGCATACATATATACATACATTATCCTTTCTCTTTGAGTTAATATTTTGCCTGCTTTTCAGAGAAAGTAGCTGCTTATCACACACCTGAACCATTATAATTTTTAAAGAACTGGAAACCAGAAATTATTTGCATATGTTTTCTTTTTTTCTACTTACTTGTTCTTCAAGTTACATTCCAAGGAGTCTGTTACAAATTCTGTCTTCTTTAAAGACTTCTGGACAGCTCTTCTGCTTCTGCTGCATTATCTGTATCCCCTTATTGATACCTGGAATCCAAGTCTCTCTCTTTCTGGATAATCCCAAA